AGAGAGAGAGAGAGAGAGAGAGAGAGAGAGAGAGAGAGATAGATAGATGAAGAGACAGACAGAGAAAGAGAGAGTATGCTTTTAGTTGGTTGAGCTCAGAGCCCGCACACACAAAACTGTGAGAAGGAAATCTGTGGTTAGTTGTGTGCTGAATGTCTTTTAGAGGAAGCCGCCGTTATTCTTCCTGGCAGAAGGGAACGAGAGATAAATCAGCGGGTGGGAAAGAGGGAATGGGGAAGCATAAATTGGGACAGAAGCTTCCAAAGAAAAGGTGGAGATGAGGGCAGATAATTGGGATATGCCCAACGCGAACACAAAGACAGTACGGACGGAAGGAACAGTTTGTACATTGCTCAAGAAGAAATTTTACCGACGGCTATTCCAAAAATCGAACAATTTTCATCTTCTTTTTTTAAATCAAGAAAACAAAAATTTAATTACTGTAGCTTATTATATTTATTGGTTGTAGGGTTCCTATTTCCATCCTTGGCGGATTCAGTCATGAAAGAAGAAATATAGAACGTATTCGTGGAAAACTAGGAGATGTATAGAAAACGAAACACAAACGTCTTCGCTTCCTGAAGTCTTCTCGCCCGTAGCTCACGGAAGAAATTGGTTGTAAAGACTCCTTCTGGATCGTTGGGAGAACAAGAGCTGACAAGCGCTCTTAAAGATAATCTCTTTCCACCGGAAACAGCAATCAGTCTCACCGCGGTGAACTGTTCTGATTGGTCCATCTGCCGACTCGCTGTCCGTCGGGGACAGACCTGTGATCTGTCAATGTTACAACAGACCCGGGCAACAGTTCCAGAATCTTCTCTCTGAGATCGGACAGTGCCAATAAACAACTTCTTCTATTTCTATAGTCTGAGATAATTGTGATCATTACTTATGCCCATACTCTACTCCAATTCTTGCAGGGAGATTTAGAGAAATCTTAAAGGTATTGTTCTGATGTCTTTTATTATTATGTATACATGGCCTACAACCCTCTCTCCTCTCTGTCTGTCTGTCTGTCTGTCTGTCTGTCTGTCTGTCTGTCTCTCCCCCTCTCTCTCTCCCCCCTCCCCCTCTCTCTCTTTCTCTCCCTCCCTCCCCCTCTCTCTCTCTCTCTTTCTCTCTCCCTACCCCCCCTCTCTCTCTT